TATACTGCAAAATGCAAAATTTCCATAACTAGACAAATGTTAGTTTTCCGATATAAAATATCGATATGTATATATGCACATATATCTACATTATATTATATAAATATGTGCATAAAGATATTCTACATTTATTATATGTCAGACGCATATAAACTACGGATATATATATATGCGTAAGTACAATGTTATACTACCTAAACACACGCATATGGAGAGTACAATGAATGTATAATAAAATCAAGTTTAACTTACAATTTCTCTACGCTTATGACATTTGTTATGTTAAGACATATCGACAGGCAAAAATGCCTACGAAAATTCTGAACAAGTGTTATGCACGAAACAAGATAAACTCCCTTAAATATTTGCATATATGTATGTATATGCATATGCACATATATTACATTTATAGTTGATTATATTTGTTTAATAAATTTCCCAAGGTAAGAAAATATTTTTGAGAAAATCTAATTAATTACGAAATGTTGGTTTTTAATTAAATTGAACATTTTACGGGAAAGTTTTTTTTTTTTCATCTCTGACCTTTTCAAGAAAGGTTAAATGTACAAATAAAGCTTTATAGAATTTTTAAAAATAACTGAAGGCAAGTTGAAATAAATTAAAATTATTCATACATTAAATGAAAATTCGATTTGCAACTCTAACGCAAGGAAGACCCCGATGCTTACTATGGCTTTCTTTTCTTTTCGCTTATGTGAAGGCCCTGCTGTACGCAAGTGTATCTATAAGGAAATTCCCCTCTAAGCTTGTCCGTTTACAAACACGTTCAGGTTATAGATCAAGGTTTAGATATGCGTCTGCCTATGCTTACGCGTATGTATCCGTCTATTCACCTGCCCGTGCTCTCTCTTGTCATCCCATGTTTGAATCTGCCTATTCGCCGCTTTATGACTCCTGTTATGCGCACATCTGTATATCGATATACATACATTCGCATTTCCTCTCGATTGACGCTTTGTGTTTGTACTTGATAACACGGTTCACACGTAAACTTGTTTATATGCCCTATTATAGCAATAAACATAGAAAGCCGTGTGCGCGTCCGTTTATGCGCCCGTTTATGGATCCATCTATGCGTTCATTTGAATATCTATAGATACATCTGTCTTTGCGTACGATCGAAATGAAGGGATCAACATCTATACGTGTCCATATGTCCATTTTAAAAAAATTAAGAAGCAAAGCTCCAATTTCCAATGGAAATGTTAGTATTATGACGTACGTAATGGTGGCCTTACAAGTCGGAAAAGTAACCACGCCTTTAGAAATTCGACTCTTCCACTCTTTTAGATAACGATCTCAAATTTGAAATAACCATGCCCTTAATAAACATAAACTTGAGAGTTGCCACGTCTTCGTGCAAGTTGTAGAATTTTATTGTTATCGTTTTAGATTAAAATTCCTTTCGGTCTTGGTTTTTCTCCTCAATCCAATCTCATTACCGTTACCGCTTATTGGTTTTTCCTTTTTTTACGACATTTTTTTTAAAAAGGATATTAAATATTTACTACGACACTTATTGCTATTTAAAATTTGTAAAAAACAGTGATATTTTCACAAAGCTGCAGCAATAACAGCAACCACAAAAAGAGTTTATCTCTGTAAGTGAATATGTACGTATGTAGATTTATATAAACTAAGCATGTTCAGTAAACATGATTTTGATTTTAATGTTGCCCTAACACAAACGATAGTTATATGCATCGAGAACGCCCTTCGCTGGCATACCCTTCTTCTTCCGTTCGATTCAATGCAATGCAATGCAATACAATTCAACTGCTGTCTGTGACTACTATGGCTATGGCTGGTGGTATGGCTGTTGTTTCTATTCTCATCGAAGTCCTGTCCCATAATTTCGATTGAAAATATATATAAAAGCTTGAGGCTTATTTGTTTGTTTGCTCGTTATCTTGCGATGGTGAAGCACAAACGTCCGACATGGAGAATTTCACTGAAATTCTTTACATAATATTGCATTATATGGTAAATACAAAAACATCTTCGATGCTAAACTGTTGTCAATGTATTCCATCCTGTTGTAGAATAAATAACAATAAGCTCTTCAAAGGTTATATTAGATGATTGTTTGTTAGCAGCAATGGGACAAAGATGACAAAACCCTTGGTTACGAGTGAGAGATATGTAAAAACTGTATGCAAAAATTGTGTATAAAAATCGTTGTAAATATATTTGTAAGCATTTTCAATCATGACAATTTTCATTTTGATATTTTCAATTTGTTTACTATTTATTCTGTTTCTTTTTCTCTTTCTATCTATTTCTATTTTGCATTTTTTTCTTCTTTTTTCTCTACTGTTTTTTTATAGATTATTTTCTTTGTTGTACGTTTTTCACTTTGAGAGGAAAACAGGCGAAAATTTTAATATATGTTTTTTAACTTTTTCTTTTCTCCTTTGTTTATTATAGTAAATAATGAAAGAATTCATTGCTTTTTTTTTGCTGAAAGTTTATAATGCAAAAACAAATAGAGAAGAATAAAAGCTAGTGGTGCGCTTGAGGACCAAATCTTCATATCGTATTTATTTTCCCCTTAACGTCATTTAGAAATGCTTATCTTCCGGTAAAATGTGGTAAGTTTTGAACATAAAGATAAAAATGTCTATTATTCATGAAGAGTAAGTCATTACAGGGTATTGTAGGATGAACCGATTGAGATTAATTTAAATTGATTCAGAGTAAAATACAGTTATTGGTACAACGACTTTCCAAAATAAGGCGTTATATGGGAAATGGTCGACAACTTGATCCGATTCTAAGCATTTTCGGCGGAGAGCTCAGTTCGCAAAATGTTGTTAAGTTAATGTCGAACTAAAGCTGCTCGTTGTAGGCGTTTTAGAATGTACTACAGATTTTTTTATTAATTTGTGAATATGCAGACAACTAAGCTACAGGCAAGAAAGATGTCGCATTTGCTTACAATGGGAAGAGGTCCTTAAGGCCTTCCAATCGAGTGGTCGACGATATTTCACACTAATAAAATAAATTCATTGGGTCATAATTATGGGCCCATTTCGCATCTGAAACAAATATATCATGAACTGGATCATGAATATTATGAATCGGATCGAAAATAAGGCGAAGACAAGTCTCTCTGCTGCCAAGATTGTAATGTTACTTTCTTGGGATGCACGTTAGATAATTTTCTTTGGTTATATTCTTCGCATTTTGCGAAGTTATTGCTAAGTTTAAGTCAAGCAATCAAGAAAATATCTGCCGATTTGTTGAAGAAGGAAGCGTTGTTTCATTAAGTCCATCCACGATTTCACACGACTACCTCAATTTTTGCTATTTGTATTAATAACTTATTGGACCAACCTGCGAATTTCGAATTATTTCTTCACGCACCCTACCCACCATATTTTATGCAGCCGAATTATATAGAAAAGAAGAAGTTTACTGTTAATGGTGGGAGCTCGGTGCTTCCGACCACAAATAGCGTATGGAGGTTATTGAATATCGTCGGAAAAAATGCTTCGAGCTAAAAGGAGGTTACTTTGAGAAACAATGATATATTCAGTTATCTCTAGGATCACTCCCACATTTGACGCTACCTTTATTTTATTCTTAACCTGTCCAGAATTCTTCCCAACTATCTTTGGTTAGGATTCTCGCAAATTGGGGGAAAAAATATCTAATCATTATACGTTTATTTTAGTGAATATTTGATAAATCACATTTGCACTTATGTGCTATAGGTTATATGTAGAAAGGCCCCCGTAGCTAAAAAGCTTGAAAAATACAATAATGTTAAAGTTAGTCAGTCCTAGAATGAATATAAAAAACACATCTTCCGATTGAAAGAATTTAATTTCCTTTTGCTTGCGGTTAATTTTTACAAGTTTTCTTATTCAAATATGATAACTTGGTATATGTCATCGCTATATTCGATCAAATAGGCGAAAAGTTCATGCGAAAGTACTTTCTCGCCGTGAAGGCATAAATATGAACGGAGGGGTGCTGTGTATGAGAATGTTAGTATTGCGATCTCAATTTGTCGATGACAATCTGGGAGAAAGAACATTTCTTCAACGACAATATGAAAGGATACGAACCGAATATGTGGGAAAAATAACAATTTCGACAGGTAGGTAGGTAGGTAGGTATTACAACAAATGTTCCAATTTACCTACTGTAGCTAAAGAATCGCGTTATTGAAGATAAAATTGAGATGAGGGGAACAATTAGGGGAAACCGTATAATAGAAGGTAATGGTATTGAGTTGCTACAGTGGCAATCTTTACTCCACTGCAAACCGATTAAAAAGCCAAGGATGTAGGACGTATTCGAATAATTCAATGAAAAATAACGTCGATATGTTGATACGTATTTTTTGTGCGAAAATTTCCAACTTGTAAGCCGGCAAGGAAAGCTTTTAATACACAAACGCGCAGTCTTAGAGACGAGAAGAGTGTTCAGAGATTTTGATAGCTGCAAAATTTTGATTCAAATTCCGTTGCATGTCCGCTGTTCCGTCTGCCGCTGAAGTTGACAGAGTTACAAATGTTGATATAAGCAATTAAAATTTTATGCATATACTTCATAAATCAAAGCTTGTCCATAAAACTAGTTCGAAAATGACTGTGATATAAACATAAGCAAAATCGCCTTAACCAGAGCACTGAAGGAACTCAATGTCCATTACTTTCTAATATCATAATAGGTTCCTAATTGATGCTTAATAGACGTGTTCATCGAAGACATGATATGATCCGCCATAAAAGTAATTTCAGTCTGTTCATTATATCGTTAGCAGTTAATGGAAGAACATCAACTTTTACGTGAATATATTTATCGCAAATAACGTGATTCGTAGCTCGTGGTACATTGTGTCGAAGAAAGCTTTCTCAACTCTTCTAATATAACTACCAGTTCTTATCGCTCTAAACTCGTTACTTTAGTTAGCCGTGTAAACATACGTAACTTCAAATAAGGTTAAAAAAATGTTTTATTCGACTTACCATAAACATTTAAACGCGCGGAATGTTCAACACCACCCATTGAGTTAGTAGCTATGCATTTGTAAAGACCTCCGTCATCTGGTCTTACGTGGGAGATATTCAAATGGCTGATCACATCGCCAGACATGTCAACAAACTGACCAATAGCGAAACGATGATGCAAGGAAACATCCATAATTGGCTGAGAATCCAATAACCAAGAAAACTAAATCAAAGAAAAATCAAAGGGTACACTAACAATCAAGAGATTTATGTTTCGCTTAATTTGCATAAAAGAAGAATCTCTTCAAATAAAATAAGAAACAATAAGTAAGAGAGAAAAACATCTTACTTGTGGCGGCGGTGACCCACTGGCCGAACATTTCAACGATATTAAAGGTCCCGGCCGTACGTTCTGTTCAATGAATGTGTAAATCAATTCAGGCACAGTATCTGCATATATATTAAACTAAAATGACATAAATGCTTTCAATGGGATAACAACAACAAACGTTTACCGCCCAGTTTCAATTCAGCCATAGCTTGAGCACTTGACTTATGATTTTCCACTAAGCATTGGTAAACACCACGATCCCCACGTCCTACGTTTTGTATTAGTAATGAGGCCTTCGACAAGAAGTGTAAGCTATTAAAAGAACAAAAAAAAGAATAGAAAAGAAGGTAATGAACTTCTTATCTAAACTTTGAAAACTTTAAACCCTTATATAACCGTTCAACTGTAAATCCTTATTTATTTTTTTCATAAAAACACAAAATCTACATATCTTTTTAAAAAAAATCAAAAGAAAAAAAAAACCGTAACTAAGTAATCTATCTATCCATAAATGTCTACATATGTACAAACTTACTTACATAAATATTTTCATACACAAATACACACTGCTCTTGCGTGTACATGTTTGTATTTGTCTAATAAATTCATCGAAGCATAAACACTTTACGCTTGATTTGTTATTTTAATTTTTATTGCTTTCTTTTTTGTGTAAAAAATTTTTCCTGGAGTACGGCCAGCAAAACTAAACATAATAACATCTGTTGAATTTTATTTATGAGAGTTTAAGAAAAATTTACTTTTTTTTTTTGCTAAATATTTGCTGACGTTGCCATCTTGTTACCTCTTGTTATGTACGGTCTTTAGTCGAGGCCTTGGAATGCGTAGAGGCTCTATCATTTCAAATGAACTTATTTGACTTCTTTTATAGACACAAACACACACACATATAAACAAAAATTTACTACTACAACTTCTTCCTTCCCTCTTCAATCCCATAAAGCTACCCATGAGAAAAAGAAAAAATACATTCGAAGTAAGCGTGTAATCGTGGAACTACCCGTTGAGAAATTATTCTCTATGCAATTTCATCGATCTGCTGTTTCACGGAACCGGAAATTGCTTATATACGTATATATATATGTTTTCTCAACTTGTTATGACGATGCGCTTCCTCAAAGCTACAGATCCAGCAATGAATCCAAGATTTTTCGCAAGACTGCAATGAATTCTCGCAAAGCATTTGACAGTCCCGTAAGCCAAAGTAAAGATTAAATCTTACTTTACAGTTTTTATTTAATATTAACAAGCCAAGAAAAAACATAGCAAAACACCAAATAATGCCTTAGAAAATGGAGCCAAAATTTATTGATTGCGATTACCGTTCGATTGTTCTTCGATTATTTTGAGAGCATTGATTATCAAAATTCTTGATAATTACAAACATTTGAGTAATAACAGATTACGCTTTGAAAATTCAATAACAAAAATTTAAGATTAGATAGATAGATTTGTAAATGAGACGTAAACCAGATGCTCACAGATCAACCGAACATATAAATGTAGCCCGAATGCTATCATTTGGTCAATCACGTTTAGAAAACATTGAAGTATCGCATGCTTGCCGATTTAAAGCATATTATAGACTAATCTTTGGCTGAAGAATTATTTCTTAGTTAAAGAAATGATAAAATTTGCTGCACTTTTTGGATTGTTAATAAAAGTAAGCTCACACATGCCCTGCCATTCATTCTTAGTTTAATCCAATTTCCATCAAATAAATTCGAGTTCAATTTCCATCTGATTTCAATTCAATTTCAAGCCACTTTGAAGCTAAATAACTAGGATATGCCTAAAAGTTCCTAACAAGTTTTAGTCCTTTTTCGGCTAAATATATTTGAAATAAAGCCAATAGGAAAGGTACTACACACTTACGTCGTGTAGAGGTTTCTCCTCTTCTGCCTAGGAATACTCCCGCAATGGTTATGGTTTTAGAAAGTACATGTGAAAGAGCCCACCAGCTCTGTTTTCAGAACAGGCACCAGATGAACGCAGGGAGGACCCAGATATATAATAGATATGAATTCAAGAACTAACAGAAGGATACAAAGTCACATACATAGGTAAAAAAACTTTAGACAAATTGTGAACAAATTTATCTGCAGACGTTCATTGGTTCTCAGATATCGTATGGTCAAGTATTCATTGTGAATAACCCAACGAAGATCTACCCTGCCAAGATGTAACTAATTACAAGATGTAACTAATTACTGAAGCAACTTTGAATGTACGAAACAAAACTCTAAGGAGGTTTGCAATAACGCATATATACGCTGTCGGTCTAAGAACGATAGTTCTTAAATATCATTTTCTCATTTTGGAATTGAATCTTTTGAGCACCAAAGACGGACGGACGTTCGTTTTGGTCTCACGATTAGGTTAATTTGTTATCTGACATAGCTTAGTTATCTCACAGATTAAGCGTTACCTTAGAGTTACCTCTTTGAGAATTAAAATATTAATCTTAAGATGACGCGAAAGTAGGTGAGTCATCGGATCAGCTGCTTTCGAATTTGATTAAAAACCAATTGGTAACATCGATCATGTCGGGCATAGGTTTCGCCGAAACGACAATAGTAATTGCTCCGACTTCCTTCCTTTGTTCTATTAACATTTCGGTCACGAGACAGGAAAACCAAACGGATTAACCACAACGTTAGATTGCATGCAGGAACCACCATCTAGTTATAATTGAGTTAAGACAAGTGATAGGATTTATAAGTAAATAATGCTGTAGAAACAGCGTGGTTTAGGAATATTAGTAATACCCACAACTTCAAGTTGAATGAATTAGAATAGCGTGCCCTTGTTGGGCTATTGAATTTGGAAGGTAGGGCACAGTGGATAATCACAAAACAAGGGTAAGTTTTCCTATCATAATCTATTGACAAATGAAGCGGAACGCATGGACGCATGGAAATACCCAACAGAGATATTTTTGATTTTTACAGTCCTATCGCTGCGTACAGAATGTTTTCTTGTGATGCATGTTAAAATTTCTTTTCAATAAATCTTCTAACTAAATTTTCAAAAAATCTAGACATTTCTTATCTGGATGTATTTTGCTCATCGTATACAACTGCAAAAACAATTTTATTAAATTTAAGTAATAAGGAAGTATCGGTTACGGATAGGAATAATAATCGGTAAAATACGAATGTTCTTAGTGAACACTGTCTGCCTACCCTATTAAAACACGGCATTTATTACGGCAACTTTATTTTGCAAATGAAAGTCATTAAATGACCTCAACTTTTCATTGGAATTTCCAAACTTATTAAAAATAATTGTTAGTTTGCACAAAAATGATTTTCGACATAACTTTTACGTGCAGAGAAATGCTTTTGTTGAAAAGCACTGAATAGAAACTCACAGACAATTGTTAATTTTTTGCGGAATTTTTTCATAAAAATGTAACACAATAAAAAAAACGAAACAAAATCGGTTTTCGGAACGAATAAAATACAATTTGTAAATAAAATTGCACATACATGCTGCTCAAAACTATTGACTGCCTCGCACTGAGACTTTACGGGCAGAAAGTGTAGGCAGAAACTGTGGGTTACAAAGCGAGTTCAAAAAAGGGAATAACAACAAAAGAAAAAAAATATTAAAAAAAAAACAATAGACTTCAAATTTTTTGAGTATTTACATATTAGGTATTACATGGGCCTTAAAAAATAAAAGCAGAAACAAAAGTATATTTTAGAAGCTTTTCATACTATATTCCCTAACTAATGGGTTTTTCTGTTTTCTGTATTCCCTTTTCTTTTTTTTTTTTCAAAATATAATGCTTCAAAAGTAGCCTATTACGGCAACGTAGGCATCTTATTCTATGTAATTTAATCCTTTTTTTTTAAAGCATATGGGAAGTCGTTACTACCGTAATAATCCCAAGGAAAAAGCAAATTTGTGGACCTTCTTACCCCATTACTAGCAAGCGATTAAAAGCAGATAAAAATAATTTTAGATTACAAGTCATCGCAATGAGTGAACACGCTAAAGTTCTTACTAAAATTATGGCATGACAGGTATGGCGGTTCTGCTTGAACAAGCGAACAAAGCAAACCTATAGTCAATTGTTGGGAATAAGTAACGAAACGATCGGAACCATTTTGGCAACGAGTTTTTCAATGATTTCAATAGAGCAGTCACTCATATAGGTTGAGAAAAATCTCCCCTTACGTGGAAGAGATTTAATACACTTTTAATTAGATTGTTGTTCTATTATCCTCTGATTACGTGTAAGCAAATTTTCCAAAAAAAAAAAACGTTTTCTTTTCGTTACTTGCTATGGAAACCGTTTCGTGGTCGTATGAAGAATAGCTTGGACTTGAAGATAGATGAAGTTGATATAATTCCATTCTCGCAAAGGCTATAATGTTTGTACGATATTCTAGCTCGATTACTATTGCTCCTCGTGTGAAAAATTATTTGGACTCGATGGTAACTAACTTTAAAATACTTTCGTTCCCTCATTGGTTAATGTCTGAAAGATGTCCTATCTCAACAACTGCTGCTCGTAGATTGTAAGTTACTGTTAGTAAAATATTGATAATTCTGACTTTAATGTGTTTACCTTTCGAAGCTCTCATTGACTAACTTACGAACCAATCTGAACAATTTGTAAGCTTCACGTGTGCAGTACGAAGTATATTAGATGGCTTGCACGTTCACTAACTTAATGCCTGTGAATTTGGGGAGCTTTGACAACGGAAGGACGGACAGGCGAAACCATAAAGATCACAATAATATATCTTTTGAGCAGTATCTATTTAGTATTCACATATAGACTAACAAAACTAAACCTTACCTTGTAAGGTAGGTATGAAAAACAAACAACAACTACTGTATAACTAAACAAAATGCAGCCTAACGAATTGAAATTCTGGCATTGACTGGATAAAAAAAAAATTTATTTAGTGTTTCCAAGTAAAAGTTCAGTGCCGTTCCCACATACATGAATACGATACGTATATAAACATTAAACCAATCTATACAGGAAAGCATATACTTGACTGCAAGACAATTTTAAATGTTACTGACTACAAACTGCTCCAGCGAACGCTCTCACAGATACATATCTATGTGACTACTATTACTAGCGAATTTTCGTTTTTTTTTTTTTTTTTTTTTTTTTGTAGTTTTAGACATATAGAGGTAGGTAGGAATAGATGGTTACTTACTTATCTCTGCCGGTAGTTAATGCATTATCCTCCTGCAATGGTTTGCCGTTATGCAGCCACTCGATATTATCGATTGCCGAGCCCGTTGTGGAACAATTGAAAATTGCTATTCCGCCTGAATTGACAATTTGAACTTGTGGTAATATATGCACCGACACATACGAGTTCACAAATAACCGTATCTCCACGCGCTGCTCACCAAATTGATTCGATGCTTGACAAATCTATATGCATGTGTATGCATGTATAATATAAAAGAATAAACGCGTGAATGTAAAATTGAAAAAAAATAAAGAAAAAAATAATAAAAAATTCATTTCGTTTCTGTTTTTTACTTTTTACTTTTTTTCTTATTAAACCTTTAATTCTAGAAAATCGTTTAATCCGTGTGCCATTGAATTGCGATTTTATGTAAATTTAAATCGTGTTCTTCATTATCGCTTGAGCCTTCCTCGAACTACGGCATAAATGCAAACAAACGAATCTATGTATAGCTTCCCCCACATGAAGAGAGGCCACTTGTACTTGTCATAAAATCCACTTGAATTTAAATCAATTTAGATATGAACAATCCCGTTCATTTTCCCCTGTTTGCTTCCTGTCCGCGTCTACATTTATGTATGTATTCATTCATTCAATCATTCAGTCTTTCAATCTGTTTAGCGTGACAGTTTGTCTGGCAAGAAAGAATCATGCCGCATTTATGTGGTAGGTACACGAATCAGAATCAACTGTAGAGACAGTAGCTTTCTTCCCTACATCAAGCAAACCATCAACAATGTTGTCATAATCAGCAGCTGCGTTGTAGTAGCAGTAGTGGCAATAGTAACAGCAGAAGCAGCAGCAGCAGTAACAGCAAGAGCTTTAACGACAGTCAACAACAATAAGTGTAATGGCAAACACTTTATATACTACCTCCTCTCACACCCCAACATTATAAACCCGTTGTCCTGCCTGTATGTATGTATGTATGCGTGTGTGTGTGTGTGTGTGCGCGCACACAACCACTTATTTAACTTTCTTCCTACTTAATAGAAACTCTGTTAGTCAGTCAACATTGCTACTACACTGTACTATACTTTACAGTCGTCAAGTTTGAGATTCATTTACTTCCACACACGTATTTATGCACATACATATACAGAGAAGTTCATATACTTACCCATTTGCCAGCATCACGTTCGTCAGCATTTTTGATAAGCAACAATGTACGCGAAAGTATTATACGCTGTGATGATGGTATGGGATACAAAGCTGATGAATCTGAAACACGATACCACCTACAAAAAAAAAAAATAAAAAAAAAGTTGAAAAAAAAAATATATTAAGCTAATAGTTGTAGGCCTTACAGGGTTTCCAAAGACAGAAGACGAGTAGAAAAAAAAGTCAAGCTTATGTAATCTCATTAGTAACAGAAGTGTGTAAAAAAAATCTTTTATGCTTTCCCAGGGTAGAATGTAATCTTAATGCAACGACGTAAGAGAGGAATTCTCCATGCAATCGTACTACCTTTAGGTGCTTTGCACTTATTTATATTGCTAGACTTTACATACGAATTACGACTATCCGAACCTGTCAAAAAAAACTGTAGTACAAGTCAGGCGAACATTGACGGTGAAGTCTAACTTTCGCGACATCTCTTTTGGGAGAGGATTAGTCGGACGATTATGACTACGACTACGTAGTATCAACAATTTTCAGCATGACTTAGCTTGCAAAGCATAGAATGGGGTAAATTTTACTAGCACTGAAGACAAGTCCTTTCCTCATCGCTCCTCCCTTTTTTCTTGTTCTATCTATTTACCAGTGCTCGCCTTTTTGTTAAGACTTGCTTGCTTGTGTAGCCCTTCCATTACTATGACGATCTCCAGAAATATCCAAGAAGAACGCTGACGTTTCGACATGGAATTCTTATGAAAGACGTCAAAAGGGCTAACAGTGCTTTGAAAGAGATCTCTTGCATCATTTTTTCTTATTGAATTGTTCACTAGCAGCTTATTCCCGCTCTTAACGTAATCGGAGGAACGTTCTACAACTTTTTAGGCCTCAATAACACGATTTCGATATGACGTGAAATTGAATTGACAAAATGGCGGCAGCCCGATCCAAAAAATTTCCCTTAATCCTTTCTAAGATGTAAATCTTTATAAAAAGATTACATTAAGCTTATGTCGAATCTTTTAAAGCGTACATGGCTCCACGAGGGAGTTTTCAATGAACGCAATAATATGAGAATGGCGGAGGTGCGAGCTATATGCTATACTTCGTCTCTTTTTTTTACAGACTATATGACGTTAAAAAGTTTGAAGGACTGCAGCATAAAGACCAATTTTTCATTTCCAAATTTTTTTACAAGATTTCGTATATCCAATTCCATTCTTAGTAGCGCAGTACTCTGTACAAAAATGATGGCGGGGCAGCACAAGGAAGCCGAATATTTTCGAAACTGTTACCTACGAGACTATATGATGATGGCAGTGTAATCTTCACTTGACTATGCCGTACGTGATAAGTGGAAAATTATGAATCTAACACTTTAATGCACATTGAGTACATTTTTCTTTTTCATTACTTCCTTTCGATATGTACTCCTTTCTCAATCTGATAATTAATTTTTAAAAGAATGTACAGTCGATAAAACGTAAATGAAAAAAACAAATATACAAAAGTTTAGTTAATCAAATTAAGAGAAGTTTTTTTTTATTCAGGGAGAAATCTAAACTCATTTAATTTTCAACAAAGTTGAAGAAAATTTCCCATCTATCTAAAGAATAAAATTATTTGTAGCACTCAACAAAGCATAGTTTCATAACGAGACCACTTAAACGGTCGAAACCTTATTCTAAGTCATTCTCAGTCATATAATTGAAGAAAAGAGAGAAAGGGAAGAAGAATTTTATTTATTCGCTTGCCTTTAAGTAGTTTATTAAAATTCAATAAACACCGTCGTTAATCCAACATAAAGACATTTCATATCGTGCTTTTTAATGCGCCCATTAATTATCGCTTAAACCGCAGACAAACATTTTGGCGCGCAATCTCTTAACTACCTGCACCTTAAGTGTGTCTATATACTTTAAACAACAAGTAAGAAGAATTTCAGAGATTCTCTCTCACTTCTTCTTCTACTCTTATTAGTCTTAAAATCAAAAAAAAAAAAGGAAGAAGAAGAAAAGTACCTTTAAAAACACATGCTTGGTATGCGTATCGCGACAGAGGAAGGGAATCTCTCTGTGCTATAAATTTTGCTAATGGGGAGGGCAAACATGCGTTTTTAAACGAGTGTGCAAGCATTCGAGTTATGTTCAACAAATCACTGATAGATTATAGTTAAGTGAAGTTTATGAGTTTTATATATGAAGGTATTTAGAAGTATGCGCGTACATCAAAAGATATGATTTGAATTTTTAAGAATAGACATATATATATGCGTGTAATAAAAAAATATGTATAAAACAAATTATAGCTGAGCAAATGTAGCTACCAAGTACCTTACACTGCAGCCCCTAACACAATTCTTCACCTACCTATGTTGTAGGACATCAAATATTCTACTTTGTTGCTACTCTGAGCAGCAGGCTTACTATTCGTGACAATCTTTGTATGAGTAAGGGTGCGAAAAATAGATCTGTACAGTCCAAACTCAACACACAGGAAATTTATGCGTGAAATCATTATTTTTGCCAATTTCGATCGTAAAATGCTAAAGATTGGACATTGTTGGCTTTATATGCCAACACATTTGCATTTTTTCGGAATGCTTATGTCACGGATTGCTCTGAAAATGATCGCATCATATCTATATTCTTTACGGTCATGTGTAGCTTTTTAATTTACAATTTCTTAAAGATTTTTGCCAAGAATTTTTAAAAACGAAATATGCAATTAACTATTTCAATACACGGCGGCGTTATGATGATCCCGTTCAAGCCATTTGTACTAACGTTCATCTTTGGTCACAACATGTCAATATGCCAAAGTTTAGTGTAAGCAAAAGTTGACATGCTTTTACAACGCGACACAGTTATCGAGCTACCTTGTGTGCAAAATTTCATATTTGTCCGATCAAACCCAAAAAAAACGATTGGGTTATTTTTGCGTGAAGTAATTCGTAAGCCGACCGCAAGAAAAGCTTCTGAATTAGTCGTGATAATAGAGGATAGATCTAGCCTATGTCCTTCATGATGTTGCATATATCCGCTCAAACTTTATATATTCAATGCCATAAGTTGCGTATGAAAACATGAAAATATTTCAGGCCATCAACTGGCACGTCCACATTTAATAAAAGATTATGCAAGACGGTAGGTGCATCAGAAATTCGTTGCTAGATGAATATCATTTTTCGACTTGTTCAAAGTTAACTTAATGGTAATTTAATGTCAAGAGAAAGAGATAAAAAAATCATTACATGAGGATAAAGTCATTATCATAAGTCATTATGGAAGATATGATTAAGAGTGGTTAATGCAGTTCGCTCTAAGAGCATCCCATAAAATGTCATTTTAATGTCATAACAGGGCAATAATCATAAATAATAGACAGAACATTAATGTAATCACTTTTAATAATCAATTCCAATATAATGGCTAACATGATTAATTGTTTCAATATAATTCAATTAAGAAAATATTACAATCAACACTCGAACGATTTGGTAAACAATTCAATCTAATGTCGCGACGTTCTATTCGAGTTCAAGCCGTAATTCGCATTATCAAGCAACTGATCAAGCATTATAGCATAAGTGCAAGTTTAAATATAGTCTCACGACTTGCAGAGTGCGCCATAATCAGAACAATGTTAAGCATTCAAAACAGAAAATTGGCCTCGTCGTCGGCCTCTTATGTGTGTGATATCTTTTTTGTCCGAAAATATGGTTTACATTTTAATAAATTCCTTCACAAGATTTCGCTTGTACTTCTACAAAGTAGTTTTCATGAACAGTCATCGGGATAAAAGTTTCACATTGTGAACAATAAAAACTTTTGTTATTTTTATTTGAACATGTGGTTTAACTTATGTTTTATTACGTACTTCAATAAATAGAATAAAAGGACGTGCGATCGAAGTTGTATCTCTAAGTGACTAGCAACATTATTTCTCGCAGATTAGAGATCGGAGGTAGAGCAGACTTCTACTTATGTCTTCTAGTTTTAGCGAGCAGGCTTGTGCACGCGTCTTCTTTCCGCACTTTTTCATGAATCACTTGACACAAAAAGTAACGAATGATTAATCTGTGAATTATTAGGTGTACAAACGAATTTCTCACGCTAAATTCAGGCATTTCAAGTAACTCAGATATTGATGTTTGAACGGCGGAAATTTCAATTGTTTACAAGATGATTGTATGTGAATATTGAAGTTTTATAGAAAAGGATGTCATTTATGGAGCTGACTTTTTCTACGTTTTTAACTGAATTAACTTGGAAAGAATGCAGCTAAAGCCACGAAAATTATTAAGTTGGCTTGCAATGAAAATGCAGAAAGTTACAAAACGATGAGAAACTAGTTCGCGAAATTTTGTAAAGAAATGTTAATTTTAAAAACGATGAAAATTCACATACGTGCGCACGTCTGCAGTAAAAGTGATCTTCAACTTAGGCTGGGAAGTTCTACCGCTATCCGCGGTATTCTCCAGACACGCTCCGCTGCGATTACCATTCATTCATGTCGATGCAGTTATACTTACCAGATCAACGGTTCATAGAAGTTGAAGAGCTGCGAAAACGTGCTGATGGCTATTTCACCTCTAACATCGCAAGTTTCTACCATGAGGGCATCCATAAGCCGTCCGATAAATGGTAAAAGGCCATAAATAATGATTCTGCTTATTTCGATTATTAAGTTTTGAAAAAGTAGATCTTATTTACACTTCAGTGTAAAAAAATAAACCGAGGGAAGTTATTTGTACACCTTTTAAGTGATGAGTGCGAAGCGAAATAAATAAAATATACAAATCCTATAGAATTTCAAGTGCAGTAGATGCGGTGCAGGAAACGCATGAGATGGCAAGGAACATGTAGAAATTTGAGTAAGCAACTAACGCCTAAACGAACTAAATTTTTTCTTTTCGGCAACGTACATCAAAAGCAATTGTTCGAAAATTGAGCCCCTGTTCTTGAAGTTTCTTTATAGTTGCCTTGATCCTGGCAACGTTAGTTTTCACATTTTCTTATAGGATTGTGAAATTATAAAGAGTAATAATATGATAATCATGAAAAGTAAGGCCAAAAAAAAACATATGAAGAATTAATTTGCTTTGGGCAAGTAACAGCTTGGCTTTTTTAACTGTAACGTTTCCAATAGTTGAGCCCAAAACATTGGTACTATTCTTTGCTATACTGAACTTTTGTAAAACTTCCGTAAATAAATTAATAAAAAGTAAAATATTGATATATAAAACCTTTCTCAAAAAATTCAGTTTTTTTTTCGTTCAATCGATGATTGGAACATTCTAGTATAAGTGGAAAAAATCCATTACTCGCAGAAATTGTTTTCTTCGAAATTTCGGAACTTCCGTAAGCAAAATATCTTGGACCTAGTGACTGATATAAAAATTTTGAAAGTAGATATTGGTATCCAATCGCACAATTTCCACAACAAAGCTCAACAGCCTTTGGGAGATTTTGCAAAAGAGACAGATTGTAGCACTGAGTCTTCGAGGAAAGAGAAAGAGAGAATCGCAGACTAATAGAAAAAATTAATAAAAAATTTTTCGTGACAAAAAGCCCTTGTATAACGTATGTCAAAACTTTGAACGCGTGTATCGAAACAGAGTATTTGTTCCACAAGTCAATTTAAGCCAATTTTTTGATCAAAAATTGCACTTTTTCGCTCAAGAAAATTCGCTGAGTACATAAAAATCAATATTTTCAAAAACCCCACGTGTTTCACTAGATATAAGAATGTAGATGAAATGATTTTTTCCTTTTGTTTTTAATTCAAATTTAGACCAGTTATGCTGCGTGCCACAAAGTCTATGAGCTAGAGATCTGTCCAAAGCGTGTGGTGTGCTGCCATATTTTAACACTTTTCAAAAATACATTTTTTTTAAATTCTTTAAGATTCGCTTAATATAACCCCCTCAAATGGTGTTATTCTCCCACTTTTACTTCCAACAAAAAATTACCAAAGAACCCCTTTTTTTTAGTCTATTATATTGAAATTATTTGGAATGACCTCCTCAAGCTTATCTATAGTTTGTAAACAATCTGCGCATATTTAAAATTCAATTGAATAACTAATTAAATGTATATCATAATTTCGGATAAGAAAAAACAGTTTCTTTATCAAGATAAAAAGATAAAATCAAGATCTAGACAATGAATTGATTTGCGGAGAAAGAAATCATGAAACTTACGTAAATATGGGAAAAGGATTTCCTTGGATATTGCAAGGCATATGTACATCATTGCCACGTTCTACATGAATATCCATAACCGGCTTCTGCGTTGTACGTGGTGCCAGATTTTGACTTAATTCTTTACAGGATACAAAGAGAGTAATGAATATTAATATAAAATTACTTTTTTCCTCTTTTTATTTTTATTAGTTTTGTACCTTTTACTTGCAACATAACGGCATCACTACGTTGTCTATCACCATTAAGCGTATTAGTGGCTAAACAAGAATATTTAACTAAGCTATCCTCAGTGCGTACTGACCGCACATACAAATCACCCGATGTCGAGAGAACAACATAACGACCGGCTAGAAATAAATACAATTTTCATTTAGATTTAAATGCAAAAGAATTTTATGTATTTTTTGAAAAATTTAATTTAAAAAAATATGAAAAAATATTTTTTTTGTTTTTTTGATGAACTATAAAAACTATAAAAAATAAACAAGCAAATCGCAAAAGCCTTGCACATGTGCAAGCAAACAGACATTAATATAACTAATCTCTAACAAATTGTTAGATGGAAGTCAGAGGCAATAGGGTGATGGATGTATCAAATAAATGAACAAAATAAAACGCAACCAAAAGAAGCAAACCAAAAAGAAAATTCTTCGTAAGAGTGAAAAAAGTAAACAATTTCCAACAACATAAAATGCTTATGTAAAGAGAATGACAGACGGACGGAGTTAGTAGCACATGAAAGGCCGAAAAATAAATACTAAATACATGAATACTTTCACGGCAGACAACATGAAAACATTTTCCAATAAATGTCAACTGTAAAGAACAAAAAAAAACAAAAAATTAAAAAAAAACAAAAACCGCAGCTACATATAGATACAACATGCATTTACCCGAAAAGCACTACAACGAAAACAACTTATCAACAGAATGAATGGAGATTTCAGCAACATTTATGCATGCAGCTGTAGAGGAGAGCACACACACACACACATATATATATATATATATATATATATGTATATATATATATACATCTATGCATATATGTATATATTCCATGCTTTATATATGTACATATGCATATATAATGTATGATATGCTTGTATGGTGTGCGTCGTGGAATGTTAACAAATACCGCCAGACAGAAAAAGAGAAAAAATTGTATTTTCCTATGAAAAGGTAGATAAAACTGAAATGTACATTTTTTGCACGCACCGGAAGTAAAGAAAATGCGCAAAACATAAATAAACATAACAACAACAACAACAATAACAATGGATGAATATAGACAATGCCAAATCGACCAATTGACTGACCAACCAATACAGACAGTACAACAACAGTTTATAAATAAAAACAGCAGCTACCACTAAAGTCAATAGTAAAACTGCATAGATAAACGTAAAATGGAAAGGCGAGGGGTGGGGAGGGGTTGAACGTAAAACTATGACACATATGCAAATGCAGGGACCGAGAGATTCTTTGAACTTCAAACTGTTTACAATCATTATAGAGAAAACAAATACAAATGTGTACACACCTTTGTACACATAATAAACAAACGTTGATACAAAACAAACCAACGGAATATTAATACAAAAACAACAAAAAATACAATTACAACATCAAAAAGAAAAACAACAAAAACAATACTTACCCACATCCGACAGATCCGGCAATAGTATCTCATCGCCACGTTGCCAACTGGCTACCTTAACATATGTACGCACATAGTCCGGTATGGCGCACTTAATCAACGCTGAATTTCCCAAAAAGACTTCAGTACTTTCCACGTGTACATGAAACTGACGTCGCACTACTGTATAATACAATAAAGAGAAAAGCAAAAAACCAAAAATAAAAGAGCGTTATTAACAACAATAACAACAGAAATACAAATTGAAAGCACATTTATTACGATGGTCGTAATAGTGTTGTGTAGTGTAACGTACACAATGTGACGCAAGTTGTGCTGCAAGTTTTAAAACAAAAGTGTTATTTCCGGTTGTTTCTTCAGTTTTATTCTGCTTTTTTTTTTCTTTTTTTTTTTTGTTCATGTATCGGATAACAAATAAAGTTAACAGGATTTGTAAGGTAAATAAACGTACAAAGTGGACCGTTTGTTACGAAATTCAAAGCATGCAAAATTTTATTCAATTATGAAATTAAATAAATATATGTTTAGGGTAGAAACGATGGCTATATACGATAATAATGTTCCAGCAAGTGACGATGCGTATATAATAAACAACAAGTCTCATGTAAGCGTTTAAGGGGCTAAGCAAAGCAAGCAAGCAAAGCTTCGAAATAGTGTAAAGAAAAATAGGAAAGGGTAGTAAAGACCGGCTTGAAATGAGTAGAAGAAGCAAGGAGTTTGGGTGCTTGTAAAATTAAATTAAAGATTGCGGCGAGGGGAACTGCCTAAGCAGGGGACACAACTCAATCGCATAATACTACGAAAAAATTTTTTTTTTATTTTTTTCCTCAACCAGGGCACATTTGTTGAAAGAAAATAAATAAATAAGACCGAAGGCCGACGGTGCAGCATTATTGAGCCGATCCACTCACGCGTTACAAATGAAGTAACCTCCGAATAATCTACATGTACGATCATACCCATTAAAGGCGAGAAGCGCAACCATGCTCCATATGGTAAGTGTGCACTTAATTATGTTCGTAATATCAAAATCCATCCAAGAATTATTTCAGCATCGAAACAGACAAAGCTTTATGCAATTCATTCGCATTATGCTACATTAAAAGCAATTAATTAATATTCTTAGGAAAATTGATCTACAGTCGCTCTGCAATCTGATGTGAGACCGTAAATACTCATGAAATTACCGACTTTCTTCTGGCTGTTATTCGACAAGCAAGAACAAGTAAAACGGTCATGTCACGGATACCAGAGAACAGCCACGCAAAGGGATTTGGGTTTAAAGTTCTTTCCCAGCATGTGTGTTTCACAGTTGGGAAACCACGTCTGCATGTCTGTCTGCTAAGCAACGAGCACACTTTAACGCTTACTTTGATAAAGTTTGCTGCACTAAATATATTTATATGTTATTTGCCTAACGATAGGCAACTTAAACGCAATTTCTCAATTACTAGTTAGTAAAAAAAATTTCATTTTTGTATTTGAATGAAAAAAAAAAATTATTTTAAAAAACAAATCAAAGCTTTACCATCCATCTAGACCGACTATTAAACGACTTACACCTTACCTTTCGTGTAATGCAATTCTTCATCTGTCCTCTTAACATATATATTTTACGATGTTTTCACGGGAGTCCTTATATGAAAAGTCGTCCGAGCCTAAATATAGCCCTAATTAAATATAGCTCAAAGCTGGAAGTCCTAAAACGTACATTTTGTTGCTGTTGAGGGATGTTCAGAAAATGTCCGCAACCACATCAAATGTTTTACAGTTATTTTTATTTGATTACTAGAGTCGAGTGCACCCTATGTTGTTCTAGGTGTTGCATAGCTTTACCTCAAGTCAGCTTATATCTTACCTTTTTTCTTTTAAAAAGCTGTTTTAATGAATACTTCAACGAGTTCTTCGAAATGAAAACTGAGTATCGCAAGATATTATGAAAAGTTCCTAAAAGTTTTTTCACGTTCTTGCACACACTATCATAACTACAAATAGATACAAAGAAAGACTGTGATGTTTGCGTTGCTTGCCTTCAACATCATCGCAACCCTTTCGTTCTTTTTGTTTTTGAAACACTTGTTGAAAGTAAACAAAACTATAATAGTAATAATAATAATGTCAGTCCCTGAAAAATTTCTGTAAATATATACCGAACGAGGGAAAAGAAATAAAGTGCTTAAAAAAAAACTGAATATTTATGTAAAAACTATTCACGCACGATACACGAAACACCTGCCAGATGAATATAGTCGTGTGCAAAATAAAAAACCAGTGAATGTTGTATTTAATTGTATGGAAAAAAACCTCTACATATAAAAAGCATACATACGTAGGTTACGTAAAGAATAAAAGGTGTAGCAGCGTCATGACAAAAAAATACAAAAAAAAAAAAAAGAAAAAAGGTATCAACAAACACACAAACACTTGTAAATAAAATGCCATAAAATCAACATTTGTATAAACGATTGAAAAAAGCAAAAACAAAAAAAGAAATAAGCAACCGAAAAAGGTAACCTCATGTTACACGTGTGCAAGTTTACGAAGAATGAACGTAAATATCATGAAATTCAAATTTATGAGATGAGAGGAAAGTGTGAAAAAGAAGAAATCAAAAATGCACAGAGAGCATCGGGCAAAACGTTATAAAAATGTAATAAAATAATAAACACAAATGAAAACCGAATGAATGACTTTATGAAAGAGATAATGAGTGAATGAATGAATGAATGAATGAATGAACGAACGAACGAACGAACGATTGAATGAATGATCATACGTTGTAGCTGACAGGTAACGTTTCAAATTCATGATTTAATTATAAGTAAATGTTATAAGGTCAATGAGCACACGCACATGTACATGAATAAATATGCACGCATAGATATATACATATATATATGAATTTGACATATGCAGTAAACAAAACATTATTCTCAATTATAAATAAAAGACAATTGCTTTTCATTTGTGCTTACAGAAGGGAATCTACTTTAACAAGAGTAAAAATATAATTTGTTACAATCTCAAGAGCCTTTGGCCATTTAGCAGATTACTTGTTGTGTTGTTGGCAACGCACACTTTAGTGTTGTCAACACTTTTGCTTTAACTTTACAACATGCCTTCAAGGCAAATAGTATTCACATTTATTTATACATACTTATCTCTCTCTCTCTATTTTCCCTTTCTCCCACTCTCCCCCCATAGTGTGCGTATATGTTCGTTTGTGCAATACATTCAAAGGAAATGACAACAATCATTACAGACAACAATTGTTATATGAGACAAAAAACAATATATACACATATACATATACATATACATGCATATATATGTATATATATATAAAAAGATACAGTGAGAAGCAAAGAAGGAAGGAGAAGCTTTTTTGTATGCGTTCTTCTACTAAACATTCTTGTCGGTGTCGTTTTCGATGTTTATCGTCATGATGTGTAAGGATTGCTGCCGTTGTTGGTTTGCTTTTTTTTTCTTTTTGAATTTTGCTGTGTTTTGTTATTTTGACAAATATCGTAGGTGACAGTATATACAGTTGTCAACATCATCGACCGCAGTCATTTGTTGAAAATTGCTTTGATTACTCTAATGATACTTGGTTGAGTGTGTCAAGCCGGGTCTTTTTCATGGGTCTCTACACAAAAAAGCAAATATGGTTACACGTATATTGCCCCATTTACATCATTTGACTTGTTTGTTTGTTTATTTTTTATTTATTTATTTATTTATCTTTTCTTTTTTTTTTTTTTTTTTTTTTTTGCTAAACCCGTGTGGTTTTCTTTTGTTTTTGTTTTCCCTCTGCATTTTATAAATTGTATTAAAATTGCAAACCATCAGCAGCACTTTTGCGAGGTTTGTTTATATTTACGGTCAACAATAAAATGGTTAACTGTCAAGCATATCAAAAAAAGTAACAAAATTTCGTTCAGCTATTGCCGAATCTTTTATATCCACGTCTTTCAATTTCAACAACGTAAAAGAGAAAACAACTAAGAAATTTACATTCGATCGTTACCTAATCTTTTATACCCATCACCATCATGATCATGAAAAAAAAAAAAACGAAAGAACTAAATTATCATAGCCTAAGGTATAGGATGGTACGGCATACGGATGGGGGCTGTTTTTCTTCTACTTTCAAGATAAAAGTTTGTATGGTGTATGTGTTATACTTTATGAATAACAAGCAGAAAACGTGGAAGGCAAAGATGTTCGCAGTTTCTGGTGTACGGGCATGCGGCCGTTGTAAGTGTGTCCCCTTCAATTTTGCGAACGAGAGAATGTTTATCATAGATTCTACACACTTCGGCACATGGACAGACGGACAAAATAAAGCGACGGTGCCTTCCGAATTTGAAGTTGGCCAACAATCTATATAGCTGATGGAGTGTCTGAATCTTGCTTCGATGCGTTATATAAAAGGTTTGAAAAACTAAATGACGCAATATGTTGTAAAACTGAACAGACATGGAAGATTCCTTCCCTTTTTTTAGAGATATTGTAGCATCACCCGTGGAACATATTTTCAAATTTTTGTGTAGTCCATGAGTAATGAGAAAAACCCAAATTTTTATCCCTTTTGAAAAAGAGAGATGTCCGCGCTTTATTTTCCCCATTTTAAATAATAGCCTCTGTGCAAGAATTTCTAATGAATGTGCCAGTTTTTAAGACGATAGCTTGTTTTTTGCGGCCGGGAGAATGTTTACGGCAGACATTGCACACATGGACAAACTGACAGGCTTAAATCCATTCAGAATTTGATGCTGATCAAGAATATATATAGCTTTTGGGAGGGTTTTGAAACTTCTTCTCGGCCTTGCAAACGTATTGGTAGAATGAATATACCTCCCATCCTTCGGTGATACGAATATACGAATAATTAAATTTTTATAAAATTTCTACAATTTTCCGTAGAATGGACGTAGAAATTTTTATCGTTGTATCTGTTTTAGTTTATAAGTAGCAAGCAAAAAATTCACAAAACGGATAGTTTGTCATCCTGCAGGTGTGTCCTACGACCGATTTGGTCCATTTTGAATGGCAGCTTATGCGCAAGAGTTTCTGAGGCTTTTTACAGATTTGAAGTTTGCGATCGAGCGTAAGTGTTCAACAGAAATTTAAGCGGACCGACACACAGGATTTGTCTAGATTCTATATATGCTTGATGCCGTCTTTGGAGCTTTGGGTGTTGTCGGTGTTGCAAAGTCTCTCACAAAACGAATATACCCTTAACCATAGGTATAAAAAAAACCAAGTTATAATCAAAAAACAGAAAACTAAACCGATTTTGACTAAAAGGATATGAAAAAAAAAAGAAAACAAACAAAGTCAAATTTGCTTTGAATGTGAAAAAAATTGAAATTTGTCTTAATGTCATTACTAAAAATTTTCCACAAACGTTCTGAGTTTAAATTGAAAAACTTGCTTGTTTTTTTTTTTTACATGAAGCCTTTAAGTTTTACATACATCACACTTTACATTGTACTTTTCAGTGTGATACTTTCATATTTGAACTCATAGCAAAACCTATGGCTTAACTCAGATACCCTTTGCTATTAAGAAGGCACGTACGCTTGTTTGAAGAACTGTAACGTAATATTTCCTTCATCCTTTTTTTATTCTTCTTCTTGTGAAATATTCAAATAATGACAGATGAAGTGTAATTTGTTATTGCTTTTTCGTTTAAGGGAACGACACCTTTTTCCAAATGCTTTGTTTTTGAAAAGCAATGCTTCATGTCATCACAGTGCTTTTTACACATCTTTTCATTTAAAATTTAAAAGGAAGTTTATCAAAATGCTTAAACGTATAATAGAATCTGAAATGAATATGAATCAACACTAAAGTGTTCTTTTGTCTTTCGGCTAAACATCCAAAGCACTCAGAAATCAAGGCTTTATCCTGATTATTGCCAAATTTTACAGTGCATACAGCATTACAGCATTGGTTGATAGCTGTTTTCAACTTCCACGAAAGGTAATTAAAGTTCCTTTTCAAGCGAATGCACGATTTTCGTGACTAATAGGTACCTGACAAACTATTAACTCAACTCTTTTAAAACGGATTTATTATTTATTATTTAACCTTTTTTGTTTATTTTGTCTGGCACCACTGCAACGAGACGCAAAAAGATGTAATTCTTGAGTACAAAACTGATCATCATCATCGATAGTCAAACAGCGATTAATGAAAGAAAATCTTCCACTTAATATTACTCTTTTTGCCTGCTTGCCTCGAAAATGGGGAAAAGCAAAGATGGGATTTCGAACATTTTCTACGTAATCTTTCCTTTTATTATATGCTAATTGGCTTGGCCTCGTAAGATTCAAATAACCTAGAAGCCATGCAAATAAAGAGAAATACCGATTTTTCTTGTCTTCAAAACCGTATCGCAAGTTATTAGGTGTTTGCAAAAGTTCCGATCATATTTTCGCTTGAAAACGGCATTTATTGAGAAAAAATACATGAGAACGTTTAAAAACTGTTGTTCCTTGAGAATTTCAGCTGGGTTTTCGTCCAATAAATCTTTTACAATTCTTTGTCTTTGAACTTTTTTGGCTCTCTAGGTATTTCTTTGTTGTTGGCATCAAAACCACATCACTTTTAAACCGATGAAATCCAAACCGACAATTGGAATATGATGGAATAGCTTCATGGCATAAGCTTCTGAACGTGCTTGATGGGCACCAAAAACCGTATGCTTCAAACGAAACAAAAAAGGTAATGAAATTGGAAAATGCAATTTTAAGCGTTCCATGATTCTCATTGGCGAACGTTGCATAAATCGATAATATTAAATGGAAAACGGTTATATTATGTAGAGGAAGATCCAAACCATTCGAATTCAACCTTTATATACGCCGGTATTTCGCGTCTGTTCATCACTTTTACCTGTAGAAGTCGTTGATCAAAATTTTTGTAAACACCTAATAATTTAACAACATTTATAAACATTTTCAACTCTTTATATACGAATATATGCGCATACGTTGTCTGAAAAGTTCCCTACCTAAACATGAAACAAGCAGTACCTGCCTTCTATGTACTTAAAAAGTCCCCGGCGTAGTGTGCAACTTAAATACATCGGAAATGGATTTGGCGTTCGGTGCAGGGATTCTGCCCGATCGTTTGGGTCAAAGTCTCGCTGGCTGAATTCAAACGTGGACGTATCATTTTTGGTAACGCTGAGTTCTCGCCAAAAAAACTATTCAAATTCACTAGACAGTGCTCGATAATCGTCGAATGAATGATTTACGCATATTGCTCCAAAAGTGCCGAACCAAAAGTTGATTGCTAGGACGACAACATTGCACGAATGGAAGTTCGAATCTATGTCCTGACGAGAAGTATTTTATTTTTTTTCAAGTCCTAAAAGTATGCTCCACAAAAGAAGGGTTCGGATCAAATGTTTTAGGTATTTGACGGAATTCAAGCGTACCTTGGCACTGACATGGGAGACCGTTCTATACAACAGGCATCGAAATATTAAAGAAGATTTACGACTGATTATACTAGCCGCGAAGTAAGTTATATTATTGAAAAAAGTTGGGCTTCGGAACCACATATTTTGTGCTCGTCTTTAGGACGGAAACATTTCAGACAACACTGGCAATATGTTTCCTTGCATCTAACGCTAATTGCTATTAAATTACTTTCTTTTCTATCACTTTTCACTGAACTATTAGTTACTTTTCTTCCGGTTTCAAAGAAGTTGTTTCTTTTTTCACGAAATATATAGAAGACTTTTCTTTTACTATTTCGTTGCTGGGCTACAAAGAATTTCTTGTTCGACGTAATTTATTAGCAAAAAGGAGAACAAAAGATTTAATATAAATTTTCGCCATAATTACCTTATCATAAAAACTTCTTAAAGGAGAATAAAAAATTTTTGTATTTAAAAAACACTTTTAATCAAAAGCGCAGTTTTGGTCTTTGTCTACGGCATTTAAGAATTCTCAATATTTTTCAACGTTGAATAGAAAAACAAAATTGCATATAAATGCTAACTAAATGTTATATTTATGTGTATGTGTGTATGCGTGTGTGAGTGTGTGTGTGAGTGTGTGTGTGTGTGTGTATGAGTATGTGCGTGTGGTTTCTTTATTTATTATTAGATTAATACATCTTTTTGACTTTACCTGCTTGCACGCGTACATTTCGACTTAGTATGGTGCCAGCTTCGTTGGTGGCACGACAACGATACGTTGTCTCATGAACATCTGTACGATAATATTGCGATAGAAATGGTGGAAAATATAATGTACCGTTACCAGCGATTTTTCTAAAGTAATAAAAACAAAGATGAAAGAAAGTAATGTTAATGAAAATTTATTAAATATTCTCTCTACTTGAACACACACATACACAACGGAATGTAAATTCTTTACAAACATATTTTATGCGAGCACCATTTGTTAAACTTTAAATAAATTCATTGTAAAAACGACATAAACACATCATATAAACAACTATTCGCATACAATTTATGTAAGCATATATTTGCATATCACTATAAATATAAACTGAATAGCTTTGTACAACACATGTATTTAAGTACTCATCGTCAAGGGAGAGTCTATATCCGGTTGACAACATTTTTACATCTATCATCGAAAGTTGAAAGTATGCTTGTTGTGTCCTTCAGTTCAGTTACAGTTGATCATTCGCGCAATAAAATATTGAGTACAAGAGCTAAGGATACTTTACCCTTCTCGGTCCATGTGTCTTGTCTTGTATATTGGCTCTCGGTAATGAAGAAAAATTTCTTTATATGGAAACTGGCGCGATTCGCTCGCGAAGAGATTGCTAACAAACTGAGAGCATCGATGGTTCAAAAAATATCGTTTTACTGACTGCTATCGAAGAATAGCGGGATGCACTTAGACTACCATAGCAATCTACTAATTGTCAATTACCAAGTTATCAATTTAGCCATATTCGTCCATTGATCGCTGTTTTCTATCTATATAGGTTGGCAGAAATCCAAAAATTTCGTTTTCACCAGCAAACAAAAGTTCGCAAAATTCATCTGGTATTGGACTCCCAAAAAAGTGAAAACACTCTAAAAACTAAAAAATGCAAAAACTTTTCATTTGTGTGTTGTGTGCGTTGTCCATATCATAGGTTCATCGAGAACTATAGGGAGTAAGCACTATTTTGATTAACATAAGGCCTTTGCTATAATTTAACCATGTCCGTCCGTGCATCTTTTTATTCCTCCAAAGGATTAATAAATCTTCCCGTTTAATCTAGCGAACAAAATTCATTGAATTTGAAAAACAATGATTTGAGAAAAAATGTCAACCAAAATCTATATAAAGTAAAGACCATTTTCATTACGGTAACAGCTTTCCTTAATTTATTAATATCTGTCCCTACGTCACTTTTGAAGCTCTCATGAATGCAATAATTGTGATAAAAAAAAAGTTGAAACATGGCATATGTTTTCTTAATTTAAACGGTCAGATCAGATTCAGACATAGCTCTAGTTTGCTTACCAATACCCCTACAATTACTTAAAAAGAAAAAAGGAATCCTAACTGTACTCAAGACACCCCAACGTGTACCATAAGCTTTTGCGGTATTGGATATATTTAAAATCTATCTAACGTCGTGCCATATCATTCCATTCCGCTTGAATGTTGTTGCTATTTATAATAAAAATCGTATGGATCCTCCAATATTTATGACATGTATATGTCAACCTACGGCCTTACTGACTAAAGTGTTGTATAACGTTTCAATCGATTTGTTAACTTACGTATCGCTATTTTTAATAACAGTTCTCCGGACTATGTAAACCTTATGGATAACATGGTAGGTGTATGCAATAACAGAGAATAAGGGAAAGCATTCAAAAATCGGGACTCTAACTCGGGTAAAAAAAACGTATGGTATTCCAATAAATAATTTACTTTGCTCTACATTCACTGGACGAAATTATGGCGAGGGGCAATTTTCCATATCAACATGGGTTTTAAAAGTTTGTCGACTACAATGAAAATTTATCCTTGATCAAAAATTTATGGACAGTCGTCGTGGAGCCTTCGAAACATCTTTCTTATTTTGCTACTAGGATCTACTAAATAACAAAATTAACATACGCTCCGCGCGCTTTTTTGGCGAATGTGAAAACTTTCTATTGACAGAATTTCAAGTCAGTACTTCGCCAACTATTTATATTACAACAACAACAACAACAAAGTATGACAGCACGAGCATATGAAATAAATCAAGAAAAGCACGTCATCATCGTCCGTTTTGATTAACACACAAATAAAATGTAAATACATTGTAGCACAAAAGCAACAGTTGTAAAAAAAAATAAAAAAACCTATCTGTCTTAAGGCGAATCTTGGACACCTATTACCTAGATTTTGCATATCTCTTATATATATATATATATTAATGCTGCCTTTGTGTAAGCTTCGTATACACTTAAAAACCGAATTCTCAATATAAGATGGCTAAGAGTGTACATAGCATTAATTTTTGATAGCGTGTATACTTTGGGTGCAAATTTGTGCTACAAAAAGGGAAAGAAACCTAACATACATTCAATATGTGACGGTGTCCATGGAAAAAGAAGGCAAACAAAACTTTCTCGTGGTAAACTTTGTAGGAAAGAGGTTTTCAAGGAATTATAAGAACGTGTATGCTTATATGTATGTATTAGGGTAATAAAACACTAAAGTATTCATGCTTTTGTCCAAATGTCTGAAAACACATATATATCTACGGTTTCATTTCTTTCATACAATGACTGATGGAATTACTGCTATTGCACTACTGTGAAATGGAAATATTTTCTCGAAAATATTTTATAGAATATTAAGATAAACAAAACGATTCAGCATTGTCAGCAAAAACTGTAATTCATCTGCATTTTAATAGCGCAACATTTGGCAGAATTTTGAGAATATTTTTGGCTAAATTGAAAAAAAAACCACAAATTTAATTTTTTATGTGAATTCTTTAAGGTAACATCGCACATTTATTGAATATAATCTTTGGTATTTTTCTTAGTTCATCCCACTTATGGGAAAATATGAAGGATTTCTTAATCTCAATTCAATTACTGTGTTTCAGTGGCTTCGTGAATTCCAATATTTAGAATTAGAAGGTAAGCAAAAAATTCCGTTCTCTGTTTTCGTTCTATTATGAAATGTTCAAATTTAAAGTCGATATAATCGTGAACAGCAAAATATAAACCCTGCTCCCCCCGGACAAAATTTTGAAAAAAAAAACGCGAAGAAAATTGAAATTGAAAGGAAAAAAATAAGTAAGAAAATTATATTCCATTGCGATCGAATCTTTTATTCTTTGCAAAAAAATAAAAATGGGCGTGGTTGACTTTTTTATTTTGCTAAAATAGAAATTTATATCGTGTCTATGAAGTAGGTATCCACCTCCTTGCCCCAGAAATTAACACACAAAAGAAGCGATGGGCCGGCAAACATGTCTAAGACGGGATCAATATCATAATATAACAGGTACCCTTAATAGCGTCTCTAAAGCGTTTTATGGTTGTTGCTCTGCATACGTTTTGACAAAAGAATGAAATTTTAATATCCTCGAAAGGACCTGCGTTTCGATATCACCAAGCACCAAGCACCAAGCATCGAAGCATCATTCGAGCAAACAATAGACCGTCTATTATGTCTTAATGCCTGGTGCAGAGTAGGGTATTTCAGGTTGCGAGTGCAAACATTCCCAAAGCGAGTTTTTCTATATGGGGTCGACTTTTAACATATCACACCAATTTTATTATTGTTTGTAACGTTCCTCACTGATGGTCTCATCTGGTTTGTGTAAACTATAAGATAGAACGGACGTCCAGCTAACCCTCTCCAAAAGGGCTGCAGTGGACATTCGGCTTCATTGTCGATGCCATTAGTTCGCATTCTTTGTGGTTGGATTATTTTCAATTTCAGTATCCTAGCGCATGCACATCTCGTCAGCCGTAAAAATTTAGCAGCGCTATCAAACGTAGTAATTAAGAAAAGTTGCGCTTCCCTCAAACTACCCTTTCTTTAAGCACAACACTAAATGTATTCGAAACTGCAAGAAACTAACTTGTGTACGGTTCAGTGCGATAATTTGTATAGTTGCATATAGGGTAAAGAAATTGCTTTGACATGAAGATGCTGTGCTACTTAGGCTGTTTCTTCGGAAACGGACGAAACTACTTTGTGCTCACAATAAAATTGAAAACGGTTTCAGGCCAATAAAACATAGTTTATATGCATATGAACAAAATTTAAGGGAAGGGCGGGAAGCAAAGGAATCAAACTCATTATAGTTACATTTCGAAACATTGGCTGAATCAGCTTTATAAAAAAAGCAAGGCAATGACTGAATCTGTTGTACCCATCACCATTATCGTAAAAAAAAACTAAAAAAAAAAAAAAAGAAGTAGAGCTACATTTTCATGCTATGCAATCCTGGGCAGGCATTTTCAGCATAAAAATGAAAATTTATATGATGTGATTGACGCATTCATTGTATGTAACAGGGAAAGCGAAGGTCTTCACAGGTTTTGTTGCATAGGACGGCGGTCCTTTGTAGGCATGTCCTGTGAAAGGTTAAGGTCACTTCCAATGTCTTTTGCACATTTGTACGCGATATGTTCATTTTTACGAGCGGGGGAATGTTTGCCACAGACACTACACAGTTGGGTAAGCAAACACATGGACGGACGGATATGCTTAGATCGATTCAGAATTTGATGCTGATCAAGAATATATATAGATTGCGGTGTCTTTGAAATTACCTTGTGGGCGCTCATCCCTTGACGATGGGTGTGGAAATGGAGCTATTTAATTGCAAGGCAGTCAAATCAAACGATCAACAAAGAAGCCGGTTCAAAGATAAAAACATTACGAGTAATATATATATATATATATATATATATATATATATACATCCAGAAAATGTAAAAAAAAAGTTTTTTATTTAATATCAACTGATTTTAACTACATTTAATACTTGTATTTTATTTAAAGGAGTAACTAACTGCTTCCATGAATATATTAAAAACAAAGAGGTTTTGTTATGGGGGTTCTTCAGATCCGAAAATTTGATACATTTTTTTTGTTTGTTTTATTCTATTTCAGGAAAAGACAAACACGAATGTAAGATTAAGGACGTGCTTTCTTCTTCTCCTGTAAACTCTCTTAAGCTGTATAGGGAATAATAAAAATCTTCATAGAGCTTTGTGAGAGACTTTAGCTCTCGATTCGCGATTCTCTTGGCTCTTTTGCAAATTGTGTTTTGGTTGTT